TTCGAGTGCCAGGCCCTGGCCGCTGAGAGGAGGGACTCTGTGTCAGCCCGCCTCCTTCGCTGCGCCACTCGAGCGAGGCAGCGAGGTGAGGAGGCGGGGGGGGGGGGGGGGTGTTTCTCCAGGTGCTGGCTGCCGCAGCCCCCGCAGACGGCCTGGAGGTCGGGCGCGATGGCAGTCATCTGGGTGATCAGGCCTGCCGACGGGCTGCTAGGCGGGCGCCTCTTCCTCGGCGGCTCGGCGCTCGACCCTGAGTTTGAGTGCATCCGCAGGGCTGGCTGGAGTAGCGTGCGGTGCGACGAGTTCGGCAACTTGGAGGCGGCGGTGCACGGCGCGGTCCGCCTCGACCTGTGCCCCTTCCAGACGGCGAAGGACGGCGAGGACTTCGCGGTCTGGATGCTGAGCCGCTACCTTGGGCTTTCGATCATCGAGATCAACATCGATTGTGCGTCCACAGTCAGCTGCTTGAAGCTCGGCAGGAAGTAGGCGGCGGCAGCCAACAAGCCCAATGCACACCTGTGGTCGGCCGTCTACGCCTCGCTAGACGTCGACTCGCTCATTGTGAACAAGGTGGCGGCCCACTGCGCTGCTGCGCTGAGGCCGACGTTCGCGAGGGCAGGGTCTCGGAGTTTCAGTTGCTTGGGAACGCTCACGCCGACAAGCTGGCGAAGGCGGGGGCGGCCCTCCACAGGGTCAGCGCGGCGGCCAGGCGGGAGTTCTTCGGCGCGATGGAGGTCGTGAGAGAGCTCTCCTGGTGGATCGCGCAGGCCTCGATCGTCTGGCAGGACAGGGACTCCAAGGACTGCGGAGGCCTTCCTGAGTGCGACGAGCGCAGGGCTGCTGTAACCTTCGCGGTCCCGCTGGAGGAGTGCGCTGACGGCCCGCGGGCGGCTCCCGTGAACAGGTCGGGCTCCCCGCCCGCCGCCGCTGGGGCCCGCGGGGAGCTGGCTAGCAGCCGCCCCGCCGCTGTCGGCGCCTGGGCCTCGGCGGCGCGTGACGGGGGAGTCGCGCTGGGCGCCCTAGTCTTCGCCGTCGCAGGCCGCTCCCTCGCGTGCGCCAGGTGCGGTGAGGACGGCGACCAGCAGGAGATCACTGCGTGCACCAGATGTGGTGCGCATGCGAGGCTTGGCGGACGCCCTGGCCCGCAGCCCAAGCTCAGGGAGCGCTGTCCTGGCGCAGCGGGCCTCCCCAGGTCGCTGCGGGACCAGAAGTCGCGGTGGGAGCGCGGCCTCCACCCTGGGGGCACGCCGCACGCCCGCGACACGCGGGGGAAGGGGGCGGAGCCCCCCCCCCCCCCCCCGCCTTCGCAAGGAGGCCGAGGTGCCGCAGGACGCCAGGGTGCGCTTCCTGAAGTGGCTCGGGGTCCAGCCTGATGGCCCAGCTGGCGCCGAGGGCAGCGCCTCGGCAGCAGACGCTGCTGGGGGCGGCGCTGGCGCTGCGGCCTCCTCCTCGGCAGAGCTGCCCGCTGCGGCTGGTGGCGCCGTGGCGGGTGCGGGATCGCGGCAGGCCTGGCTGGATGCTTACGGCCTCGATGAGGAGAGCCTGCTGAGCTGGGCTGAGGAGGCCGACGAGGCCCGTCGCGAGCGCCAGAGCAGGAAACGGCGCAGAGACGTCGGAGATGGAGGTGAGTGAGTCCGCGCTGGCCCCAGCCTCGGGGCGCTCGGATCGCGCGAACGTGCGCGTGCCGAGCCTTGGACGCTCCTGGCTGTGGAGCGCCAGCCTGCCTCTCCTCCTGCCCTCCCGCTGCGTCCGTCTTTTTTGGACCCCTTGTGGCCGCGGGCCTCGGCGTGTGGGCGCGAAGCTTTCTGCGCCTCGCCCGCCTCGCCGTGCCGCTTGGGGCTGTGCAAGCATGTTTGGGGCGTTGCCCGCCGCGTGTCTGCGCTGGCGTATGTATCCCAGCGCTTCGCGCTGATGCCCCTCGACGGGGGTCTGAGCTGACAGGCCGAGCGGTGCCTCGGGGCCGATGTGCCCTGGTGGTGCCTTCTGCGGCTCGTTTGGGCTCTCGGGTTCCCTTGTGGCCGGCTCCCTGTCTTGGGATGGCCCCTTGTGGCTTTGGCCCCTCAGTGGGGCCTGGGCCCTCTGTGGGCTTCTTTTTTGCCTTTATAGGCCCCGCGTCAGCAGACACACAAACACACAGACACACAGACACACAGACACACAGACAGACACACAGACACACAGACACACAGACACACAGACACACAGACACACAGACACACAGACACACAGACACACAGACACACACACACACAGACAACACAGACAACACAGACACACAGACACACAGACACACAGACACACAGACACACAGACACACAGACACACAGACACACAGACACACAGACACACAGACACACAGACACAGACACAGACACAGACACAGGCACAGACAGAGACAGAGACACAGACACAGACACACACACACACACAACCACTGCACGCTCTCCCATTGACCGAGCGCGTTCCACTACCAGCTAAGTGCCTACTCGCAAACGTCAGAAACAAGAACACGCGTTTGCCTTGAAACAGTGGATCGTGAGTCCCCCGCCGCGGATTCATGCCATTTGCGAGTAGCTACACGTTGCGAGTAGTGGGACGCGCTTGTCTATCAACGGCGCGCCGAGCGCGCCAGGGGCGGCGCCCGAGGCGCCGCCAGGGGTGCGGGGAGGGATGCGTCACCCCCGCACCGTTCAGTGATCGCCGACAGGGGCCCGATGGCCCACCCCGCCCAGGATCGGGTGGCGAGCGAGGGGGGAAGTGAGAGGGAGGAGGAGGAGGAGGAGGAGGAGGAGGAGGAGGAGGAAGAGGAGGAGGAGGAGGAGGAGGAGGAGGAGGAGGAGGACGAAGACACAGAAGACTTCTCAGAGGGAGGAGGCCTTCGCAGAAGGCGGCGAGGCCTCTCAGAAGCCCTCCTGGCCCTCTGAGAAGTCTTCTGTGTCTTCGTGGAGGGCGTAGAGCACTCCTCGGAGAGCCGGGGTGCTTCCAGGCCTTCGAGCAGGCCCGCTCCTCCTCGCTTCCCCCTCCCGGGCCCGCCGCCAGCAGGAGCGTGCCGATTCGTTTAGAGGGCCCATCGCCGATGTCTCGGCGCTGTGTTGCCGATTCCAGGTCGATGCTTCCCCCTGGGCCAGCCCCCTCCCCCCTCCTTTCGGGCGGAACGAAAGGGGGGAATAGGGAAAGGGGGGGTACGGAATCTGCTGCATGCAGCCGGCTTCGGCCTCGCCACCGGGCCCATTCCTCGATACGCGTGGGCGCATCCCGCCGCTGGGAGGCGCCGGGAGAATCAGCCACGTGAGCTGATTCTCAACCCCTCAAGAGGGAACAAAAACACACAGACACAATTTATCGACGATCCCCAGGAACATGTGGGAAAATATGGGAAGTGGGGGGGAAGACAAAAACCCAGAACATATGCGAAAATATGGGGAATCTTTTTAGTTGTGTGTATTTCCCTACCTAGGCTCTGCCCGCAAGGGTTCTTACTCTGTTAGCTAAAGGGGCTGGGCAATGCTAATCGCCCCGGGCGGTTCCCCCAGTCCCCGCCCCGCGGTTCCCCCAGTCCCCTGGGAGCTTTAGCCTTAGCTTTAGCTTTAGCTTAGCTTTAGCTTTAGCTAGCTTAGCTTTAGCTTAGTGTTAGCTTAGCTTTAGCTTAGCTTTAGCTTAGTTTTAGCTTAGCTTGAGCTTAGTTTCAGCTTAGTGTTAGCTTAGCTTTAGCTTAGCTTTAGCTTAGCTTTAGCTTAGCTTCAGCTTAGTGTTAGCTTAGCTTTAGCTTAGCTCAGATTTAGCTTAGCTTTAGCTTAGCTTTAGCTTTAGCTTAGCTTTAGCTTAGCTTTAGCTTAGCTTCAGCTTAGCTTTAGCTTAGCTTTAGCTTAGCTTTAGCTTAGCTTTAGCTTAGCTTTAGCTTAGCTTTAGCTTAGCTTCAGCTTAGCTTTAGCTTAGCTTTAGCTTTGCTTTAGCTTAGCTTTAGCTTAGCTTTAGTTTTAGCTCCAGCTTAGCTTTAGCTTAGCTTTAGCTTAGCTTTAGCTTAGCTTAGCTTTAGCTTCAGCTTAGCTTTAGCGTTAGCTTTAGCTTTAGTTTAGCTTTAACTTAGCTTTAGCTTAGCTTTAGCTTAGCTTCAGCTTAGCTTCAGCTTAGCTTTAGCTTAGCTTTAGCTTAGCTTTAGCTTAGTGTTAGCGTAGCCTTAGCCTAGCTCCAGCTTAGCTCTAGCTTAGCTTTAGCTTAGCTTCAGCTTAGTGTTAGCTTAGCTTTAGCTTAGCTTTAGCTTAGCTTTAGCTTATCGATCAGCTTAGTGTTAGCTTAGCTTTAACTTATTGTTAGCTTAGCTTTAGCTTAGCTTTAGCTTAGCTTTAGCTTAGCTTTAGTTTAGCTTTAGCTTAGCTTTAGCTAAGCTTTAGCTTAGCGTTATCTTAGTCTTAGATTAGCTTTAGCTTAGCTTTAGTTTTAGCTTTGGCTTAGCTTTAGCTTAGCTTAGCTTTAGCTTAGCATCAGCTTTATCTTAGCTTTAGCTTAGCTCCAGCTTAGCTTTAGCTTAGCTTTAGCTTAGCCTTAGCTTAGCTTTAGCTTAGCTGTCGCTTAGCTTCAGCTTAGCTTTAGCTTAGTCTTAGCTTAGCTTTAGCGTAGCGTTAGCTTAGCTTTAGTTTAGCTTTAGTTTTAGCTTCAGCTTAGCTTTAGCTTAGCTTTAGCTTAGCTTCAGCTTAGCTTCAGCTTAGCTTTAACTTAGTCTTAGCTTAGCCTTAGCTCAGCCTTAGCTTAGCTTTAGTTTAGCTTTAGCTTAGCTTTAGATTAGCTTTAGCTTAGCTTTAGCTTAGCTTTACTGTTACTACTAATGCTGCTTTCCTAGGTGCTCCAACTCCTAGGTAGGGTCGCACTGGGATAATTATTTGTGTGTCCCAGGGCCCCTTCAACCCCCCCTTTGCTATCCCCCCCTTTCGCCCGGCCCGATCCCCCTGGGCTGCCTCCCAGGCAGGGGGGGGGTCCCCAGCGCCGGCCCGAGCAGCCCGCGCGGCCTGCCCGGGAGAGCTCTCGTGCCGCTCGCGCCGTCTGCGCGGCTCCCTCCTATTAGGGCGGCGGGGGGAGCGGTGCAGTGGGGGCCCAGGCCAAGATAGATCAGCCAGCGGTGGATATGACGAACCAACAACACACACCCATACCCATAGGGGGATCGGAGAGGGCTATGGGTGCGTGTTGTCGGATGGGGGTCCCCGCTCGAACGGGAGCGCTCCCCAGGGTCCGACAACCCGCACCCATACCCATAGCCAGTCCTCCTCCCAACGACCTCCCTATGGGTATGGGGGTGTGTGTTGTTCGTTCGTCAAGATAGACAGGAGGGCACGAGGAGGGCGAGAGAGGGATGGGCGGAGGACGAAAGTCGGGCCGGACGAAGGGGGGGGCTTGGGAAAGGGGGGGCTACGAAATCTGCTGCATGCAGCTGGTTTCGGCCCCGCCGAGAGGCCCATTCCCTGATACATAGCCGTCTCCGGCGCCGGGAGGTGCCGGGAAAATCAGCTACGTGAGCTGGTTCTCAACCCCCCCCCTTCTCTATTCCCCCCCTTCGCCCGGCCCGAGAAATGAGGACGGGAGCAGGACGGGAGGAGGACGGGAGGAGCAACATCAAGCAAGCGCAAGCAGGCAAGCGGAAGCAAGCAAGCGCAAGCGAGCCATAGCAATCAAGCAAGGGCCAGCGATCAAGTGCAAGCAAGCAAGGGCAAGCAAGAGCAAGCAAGCGAGAGCAAACACGAAGAGCGAGCAAGCAAGTGCCATTGGAAAAGGGGGGGCCAATTGGGAAAAGGGGGGGGCCATTGGAAAAGGGGGGGGCTGAAGATCAATTATTTATGATGAGCTAGGACTCCTATAGGGCAAGCCTACTTGGAGAACACCCTGCTTGCCTCCAGGGTGCCCTGGGTTTCTTCGGTGTCGATGGTTTTGCAACGGGAAGCGTGACGTTCCCACACCAAAAATCGATGGACGTCCTGGGGTCTCCGGGTTGGCTGTCCTGTGGCAGGTTCCTTGTGGACTGGCCCCCGCTGTACGCAGCCACTGCCCCATGGCAGGCGTGGCCCCTCCTGGGCCCGGGAGCGGTGCAGCTGCACTCCTGGCCGAGCCCAGGGAGAGACCTCTGCACCGCATCCGGGCGCAGGATGGGGCCACGCCTGCAGCCGTGGCCGTGTCCAGACCCCGCCGCCCCATCCCTGGCCCTGACGACCGGCGGTCCGATCGGCCTGTGCGGAGGCGTGCCCTTCCTTGGTATCGCTCGGACGTGTGCACTTTTCCTCGGCGGGGATCACTGAGGAGCATCCTGGATCCTCCTGCGGAGAAAAAAAAAACACGCACGAGACCGACAAAAAACACAGGGACCGGACGTCCGAGCGATGGCCAGCTTCGCCCGGACCTCTTCGGCTTAATCTCCTCCGCGGACCTGCTTTTTCGGCTGGCCCCGTGAGCCCCCGAGGCTGGGATCCCAGATCGGGTGGCGCCCACCGGCCGCCTCACCGATATCTCGGAGGAGGAAGATTTATGCCGCTACTAAGCAGTGGCGAAGCGTTCCGGTTCGCATATAGGATGAATGAGATAGCCTTTTGTGGTCTTTACGAAATGTTATTAGAACAGTTCTGTCTGAGACTGCCTTGTTTTACACATCGGGTTTATGTTCTAAGAACATCGCCTTTGGTTCTAAGAACATTTCGTGTTTGGCCTGTAGGAATGCCGGGACGGTCGGTCCCTGCTCGAGCTACCCTTGTATTGTTTTCGCCTTTTTGGGCCTGCTGGGAGGCCCTCGTCGTCACCGCTGGAATCGCCCTGAAATTCTGGTCAGAGCGCACCCCGGAAGAGGTCTGGGGAGTAGCGCTATCTGTACCCTCTTGTTTCGTCAGCTTATCCTGGTCAATATCCCGACCTTGGGCCGAGGATGGGCCCAGCCATGATCGGTGAGGAGGTCAGTTCCCCGACCTCCGAGGGTGGGCAGACAACACCCGGTCCCCTGAATCCCCTCTCCGGTCAGGGTTCTCTGGGCAGCCCTGCTTGGCCTGCAGGTCAGGGGGGCTGCTTGTTAGCACGCTGTAGGGCCAGCGTTGCCGCCGCCGAGGCCCCCACCACGCCGTCGGTCGGCGAGAGGCAGCCCCCGACCCGATGTCTCGTCCGGGCCGCCGGCCGTCTGGGCAGAGGGGGTGCTTTTCTTTTGGGGGGAGTCACCGGCTCCGCCTGGAAGTCGAGGCTCCAGGGCGGACGCCCGAGGAAGTTGCGCTTTCCTCGGTGCAGCGGCTCCGGGTTTCGTCAGAAGCGCGGGGGGGGCCCACCCGTCGGGGGTCAGCCTCGCCTCGTCGTCGCGCCGCGACGGGAACGTAGCGCCTTCGGCGCGCGGTGGCTGCCCGCGACGGGGGCGACGCCCCCCCGACGCTTGTCAAGAAACTCGGTGCACAGTCAACCAGCAGAGGAAAGATGAGCGACCTTCCAAGGTTACCCCCTTTCGGGCGAAGGGAACTATGCACAGACACCGATCCTGGCCATGCCCATCCTTGGTCCAGGATCGGTGCATCATTATTATGTCTGCCCGGCCAAGGCCGAAAGGCGGGCGTACAGTGGGGGCCCATGTCAAGAAACGCCCTGCTTGCCTCCAGGGTGCCCTGGGTTTCTTGGGTCTCTGTGGACCAAAAAGCGATGGACGTCCTGGGGTCTCAGGTCGTGGAAACGTAAGACCCGAGTAAGCCGGAACTCAGGTTTGCCGAGTGTTTTTGACGAGCGCGTCTTGGATTTTGACGGTCCCGTTTTCGTGGGATGTTTGCAGCGGGAGCCCGCGTCAAAATTCAGAGTGGGTGTCGCCATTTTTATGATGGCCCAAGTCGGGCCAACCCGAGTCCCCTGTACCCGAGTCTTACGTCTCCCCGATAAGGGTTGGGTTTCTTGTCGGAGGTCTCGTGTGGTCGGGCCCTTCCTGTCTGAGCCGATCCTGTGCTCAGCATGGGCCTGGTCAGAACCGGTAGGTGTGTGTGTGTGTGTGTGCATACTCTTCTTTCCTCTACTTTGGCATCCGTCCCCTGGCATCGCTCGGACGTGTGCATTTTTCTTTCGGCGAGGACAGTCTAGGAGCATCCTTGATCATTTGGCGAAAAAACCACGCACGAAACCGAAAAAAGCACGGGGACTGGACGTCCGAGCGATGGCCAGGTCCCCGTCGGCCCATCACTCTGACCGCTTCCGCTGGCCTCGCCCCGCACGCAGAGTGTCGACGTGGCCTTCCGAGGCCCCTGCATCCCTGCCGCGCATCCTCATGACACGGGTCGACTCACATGGGCGCTTCCGGCCCCAGAAGGCGTCGGAGGAATCGCCTACGCGAGCCGTCGCCCTGAGCTCCCACGCTGCGAGCCAGATGCAGCATCGCGAAACCTTGCGACCGGAGCCGGAGAAGACCCCATCTCCGTGCTGCCTTCCTGGGAGCTGGGCGATCCGTCAGGGCCCCAGGGACCGAAACTGGGCGACGAAGCCTGGGCCACCCAGGACCAGTGCTTCATCCTTGACGGTCCCGGGCCCAGCGCGGGCCCCTCGGCCCTGAAAGCTAGCTGCAGCTACAGCCTCCCTTCGTGTTTTTTCACGGCACGGCGAGGTCTTGGTTTCGCCCAGTCCAGACGTGGTGTGGTGACTCCCCTCCTGGGATGCAGCGCCTGGGAGGGTGCATTCTGCATCGGCGCTGGTGTGTCACTGGTCCAAAACTTGCCCTGATCGTTTACGATCCTGTTCAGTCCGGCTTACTTCCGCTGAATCCAGCTCAATCCCAGGTTTCATGCGCCGAAGGCTCCGTAATCGGGCTTCGTGGCCCTTAGCCGTTCTGACGAAGACCTCCCAGGAGTTGCCTCCCAACTCCTGTGCATCCGCCCAGCGAGCTGCGAACGCCAGCCGAGGCACCGCAGCGCGCCCGCGCGGCCGGGCCCGCCCCCCCCGTTCCGGGCCCGCCCGGCGCTGCCCGCGGCCCTGGCAGCGTTGCGCGCGCCGCCAGCGACGAGCAGGGCGCCGCACAAGCATACGCCAGACGACGCAGTGTTCGCCAGCGGGGGCCCCAACCGGTGCTTTGCTGGCAGTCTCTGTCGTGCAATCTGTGTGGAGCAATCGATGTGGGGCAGTCTGCGTTGTGCAGTTGATTTGTACCCATGAGTTGGCACATCCCATGCTCTTGCAAACATCCCACCCACCCACCCGCAGCTTGGTCTGCGAAACCCATGCGGTGGCTGTTGCGATGCATGCTTGGCGTTGGCTGGTGCATCTCTGCGGCCGCGCCAAGCCTAGTACGCGCGCTCAGCGGCCAGCTAGTTAGGCGCCACCGACGCGGCCGCGGTGGCGATGACTGACCGCTGGGCACATCCCAGCGGGCACTTCACTGCGGGTCGGCGACTTGGGGCGCGGTATCATGGCAATGCCGATTACGGTAGACACGATGATGATAGTGGCGATGTTGGTGACGGTGTTCGCACCGACGAAGGCGCGGCCAGTGCGGGCGCCATTTCTCGGAAGTCCGCGCGGATTTCGTGGATCGGCGCTGGGCCCCCCTGGCGGCGCGTCTGGTGCCTCTCCTGGCGCGCTCCGCGCGAAAAGGGGGGAAGGCCAAATCCGGAACGCGACGTGCGCGCGGACCTCCGAACCAACTCCCGTCTGTTCCGGCCTCCTCCGGGCGAGTGCGTGCCTCCTCGGCGAGGACCATCGAGGAGCCTTTTGTGCCATCACGTTGAAGAAATACTTTGTTAGTGAATTTAATTGGTTTCGGGTTTTAACATATGGTCGCAGCCACGCAGAGGGCGTGCGTAGCGACGCCCCAAATGCTCGGCCTCCAGTACTTCTACGTGGTGGCGCCCCCGCAGGCACGCAGAGGGCACGCGTGGCGACGGGGGCGTCGCCACGCAGAGCTTCTGAAGACCAGACATCTTGAAAACCAATTGCCTCCAGTACCCGCGCGACGCCGAGCAGCGCACGGGGAATGGACGTCCGAGCGAGGGCGAGGCCCGTGGCGCTCTGCTCCTCCTCGGCCCCCCGCGGCCGCGCCGCGGCGGGCGCGCGGCGGGCCCCCCCGGGATGGAAATTCCTGGGCGCCCGCGGGCGGGCCCCCCCATCGGCGCCCGGAGGTCGTCGGCGAGCGCGCCGGCCCCACAGGGCTCCCACCACAAGGGCTCCCCCGAGGGCGCGAAGTGATTCGCGCTTCGCGCTTCGCGGTCCTCGTTCCTTCTCCCCCATCCTCCTCGTCCTCCTCTTCTCCCTTTGGGAGGGCGGCGCGAGGGCGCGAAGTTATTCGCGCTTCGCGCTTCGCGCAGCGCGAAGCGCGAAGTTGGGAGCCCTAGCACCAAATCTGGACCTCCTCGCAGGGTTAACATGAATTGGGGGCGGCCGGGAGGGGGGGGGGGACGGGTAGGAAGGGGGGGATCTCATGGCGGGGGCCAGGGGATCTCCCCAGATTCCGTGGCGCCCCTTCTTACCTCAATGCGTCGCCAGCCCCCCCCCCCCCTGGGCCGCTCACATGCCGCCGGCCTTCACTTGCGCCCCCCCCCTTGTTGGACGCGTCCCTCCTGGCCGCCCCCGATTAAAGATCATCGAGGACAAAAGAACCGCTAGCCCTGATAACTCGATGAATACGTGGCCTTGTTTTGGCTCACTTTTTCGCAATAGGAGCAACACATCTGGGCGGTTGGGCCTGGTACATCGACGCAGAAAAAAAGACTTCCTATCCCTGGTATGTCTGGCCCTCCTCACTCGGGGTCCCTCCCGAAGTGTTAGGGGTACTTTCATTATTGCTAATCGAAAGAGTCGAATCAGGACCTTGACATCTAAAATTCAGCCGGCAATGTTTTTCTACAGGGGGAATATTCCCGAAGAGTCAAAACATAATATGGGGACGATGCTTTGAGTATTTGTTGCATTTGTTTTTTTTTATATTCCGTACCAAATCCCCCTGTAGGAGGACATGCCCGACCTAACTCTCAAACCGCGCTGAGGTTTTGGGCCGTCCGGATTGGGCCTCTCGAAGGCCTGCCAAGGAATTGGCACACGGACCTCGGCACCGGAGTCCTCTTCGAGGTTCTGGGACGTCCAGGCAGATGCGCAGGGCTCGAAGTCCCTGTCGAGATTTTGGGCCGTCCAGTTGTGTAGATTTGCAGGGCGTTCTCTTTGCACTCTGGAGAAGTCTGGGAGCCGTTAGTCGGCGGCGAGCGAGGGAAGGCTCTGGAGTCCCCCGGCCTTCCGAGACGTTCCCTGAGCCTTCCCGAAGACACAGAAAATGTCCCAGGAGGCGCGAGGGCCTCCGAGAAGTCCCGCCGCCCTCTGAGAAGAAGGCCGCCCCCTCCTGTACTGCCCCCCCCGGTGGTGTCTCCTGAGGCTCCTGTTCTCGAGGCGTTGGGCCGTCTGGATGGATGCCTCGGGCCCGAGAGCCCTGCCGAGACCCTGGGCCGTCCTGATGTGCACCGGCCTGGAGGCTTTTTTTTGCTTGTTGCTCGAGCTCTGGAGGGTCCAGGGAGCCTGCAGGCCACCCGCGGGCCGCGCGCCGCGCGGGGCCCCGACGGCCGGCGGCTCCGGGCGTCGTCCTGCTGGCTCCCTGCCCCCCCCCCCCCGGAGGGCCGCCTGCCGGCTCCTGGCCCATCGGCCCCGGGGCCGCCGCGGCACGGCGTTCGGCCGGCGTCCCCCCAACACACGTTTGTCTCGTGTGTGCGTCGCCCCGCCGGGGGCGACGCGCGCACCGAGAAGTCTTGTAGTGCACACACACACATACACACATACACATACACACATACACACATACACACACACACACGCACACGCACACACACACACTCACACTCACACTCACACTCACACTCACACTCACACTCACACTCACACTCACGCTCACACACACACACATACACGCACATATATATATATATATATATATATATATATATATATATATATATGCGTCGTGGCGGGCGCTGTCGTCGGGGAACGATCTGCTGCAAGATGGGTGCACCGTCTGTTCGGGTCGGACGCGCGCCTCCAAGGAGAACATCCAGTACTAGTACGTCTTAGTGCGTCCCCTTCGGGAGGGGAGGCCGGTCCCCCGGGGCCCCGGGGGGGGTGGGTCGAGCAGTGGCGAAGCACCCCAGCCTGCCTAGAGGCCCACGAGAGGATGTTCTAAGAACCTCGTGTGGTCTGCACGACATTCTCTCAGAGCAGGTCTGGCTGCGGTTCTACGATCTAAGAACATCCGGGGTGGACAGAACCCCCACCCTGACACGTCGACGAGCGATTTTCGGTTCTCGAGAAGCTACGTTTTGCTAAATGGGGTTTTGTCCATCCCCGAGAATATTGATTTTGCTCTTAGAACATGTGGGTGTTCCACGAACATGGCGTGGTAGGCCTATAGGAGTGCCAGGACGGTCGGTCCCTGTTCAGGGCCGTGGTCGCGAGGCCCCGCGGTGCAAGCGTGGAGATTTTTTGTTGTTGGCGCCAAGCGTGTTCGCCTAGGCTGGGGCCCCGGAACTGCAGTGGAGGCGCATCCCAAGTAATACCCTGCTTGCCTCCAGGGCGCCCTGGGTTTCTTGGGCTTCGATGGTTTTGCTGTGGAGAGCGCGACGTTCCCACACCAAAAATCGATGGACGCCCTGGGGTCTCAGGGTTGATTTCTTGTGGGAGGTTTCTTGTGGGGCCGCCACTGCATTACAGATCGATCCAGCTCGAAACTCCTGCTGCCGCCGCGGCGCGGCAGAGGCAGGCCGAGCGGGCGCTGGAGTTGCTGGGGGCGCTCGGCGAACGAACCGTCTGGCCGCAAGAGGAGGAGCGGGGCGGGGAGGGAAGGCCGCGGAGGACAGGAGGGGGAGGAGGAGGAGGGGGAGGAGGAGGAGGAGGAGGAGGAGGAGGAGGAGGAGGAGGAGGAGGAGGAGGAGGAGGGCGGAGGAGGAGGACGGCAGAGGAGGAGGAGGGCGGAGGAGGAGGAGGGCGGAGGAGGAGGCGGGCGGAGGGGGAGGGCACTCCCCGCGGACAGCAATTCCGGCGGCAGGGGGGGGAGGCACCTACCGCGGAGAGCACTGCTGGCTTGAGGCGTGCGGCAGGAAGATGGCGCCCAGCCGGGCCTCTGGTCGGGGTGATTCCGTCGCAGCGTTGCTCTCCCGTAATTGCACCAGCTCTGCGTCCCAGGTCGTTTAGTTGACGGCGAAGTGGCCCCAGGCTGCCGAAGATTGGCAACCGCCCGTCGTTGTGAATCCTTTTCTGAACGCGAGTATGTCAGTCGGAGGAGGAAAAGGTATCGCGATACCGCTACCCTCCCCTTGTTTTCGCCTTTTCTGACCTGCACCGCTCCATTCGCCTCGACATTCTGGCGAGAACGCACCTCGAGAGAGGTCTGGGGAATTGCGGTGTCGGTTCCTTTAGGTTTCCCCAGTCCGGGGCAAAGACATGGCGGACTGGCCCACGCTGAGGCCGTCCCGAGAAGATGTCGTACGCAGGCTATGTCAGGAAGTCTTCGTGTCACGCACGGCTATTCGCCAGCGTGGCAGGGCGGACCACCGCAGCTCTTAACCCGGAGAAGCAATTGAGACCACCCCCCTCTTCGGCGAAAGTATAACGCACCCGGCACCCCAGAAACGTTACCCTGGCACATCGCACCTTCATGTGAACGCAGACGAGTCTGCTCGCCGAAACGAGCACACCGCCTGAGACATTCTCGCAATATGTTGGCTCTTATTCGCCAGTACGGATGAAGCCGAGGGCCAAGGCCTCAGTCAAGAGGGCTTGGCCCAGCTAAACAGAACAAATCCTCCTCCTCCTCCTCCTCAAGACTCCCTTACGGCACGGCACCAACACGAACAACGACACTAATGCCAGCAATAAGATTTATATCTAGAACAGCAAGGCCAATAACAGCACCAACAACAACATCAATATCAAACACACCAACGCCAACACCAGCAATAACAACATTAAGTCCCACGCAAGGGAGAGCCCAGCTTTGAAAAGGAACCGTCCGTGCCTACGATGGGGAGCAAATAATTTTGGCGGTGCGGGTGCTAAGATAATGCGCCGTGCGTGGAGAGGGCGGTATCCTCGGATGCATTACCCCACACGACGGCCGGGAAAAACCAATGTTTCAACAGGGATAGTCATGCAAATTGTATAGGACAAGGATGATGAATAGAATGAGGCCAAGCTCTTTTTCTTATTATTTTTATCATTATGAGTATTATTATGCTTACTATTATTCTAAGTGTGATCAGTATTGTTCTTATTGTTATTATTCGTATTAGTCTGATTGTTTTTCTTATTCGTTTCAGTATTCATATTCGGATCATGACTCTTAACGTTTTTTGTTATTATTATTCTTACTCTTACTATTACTCTTCTTATTACTACGCTTACTCTTATCCTTGTTGTTTTTTTGGCATTAGTATCCATATTATCATTATGAGTTATATTGTTACCCGTATCTGTGTTATGGTCATGACTCTTATTATTAACACTACTCTCCTCCTTACTCGCATTACTATCATTACTCTTACTCTTACCCTTAATATGATTATTAGCTTATTGTCAGCGTTATTATTTTTCCTTTTGTAATATCATTATTATTCGTAGTATTGCTCTTAGTTGTAGTATTGTTATGATTATTGGCCTTATTGTATGTCTTGTCTGTTTTGACAAGCTGCCGTAATTTTTTTGTGTGGGTGCGGTGCTCAGATATCGCGCCCACGTGGCGAGGGCGATATCCTCGGATGCACGACCCCACACGACGGTCGGGAAGAAAACAATGTTTCAACAGGGGTGGTAATACAAATCGTATAGGACAAGGATTGTGAAGATAATGAGGAACAATTCTTGTTCTTTTCTGATTCGGATTATGAGTAATAGTATTCTGATTATTACTCTTATAATGATTATTCTTATTATTAGTATTATCCGTATTAGTATTGTGGTTCCGAATTGTTTCTTATTGTTGTTAGTATTATTATATCTCTTATTACTGCTTTTTTATTATAACTCTTACTTTTATCATTATTGATATTTATTGTCTTATTAATTCATCTTTTTGAATAGTATTCTCAGTACTCTGCTTATTACTTGTATGTCATCATTCTTCTTTTTCTTATTCCAATTCCAATTGGGATATCACCCGAACCAGGGCGCGGGAATTTTTTATGTTCTCTCTGTTGCGAGGTGCTAACTATATCGTTCGGCCAAAACCGCCCCCCATAATTATTTCATGACGGTGCGGTGCTAATGATAACCCCGGGGGGGTCCTTAATAGCTTGATGAGGTTACTCGGACCGCGGAACGGGCCGGCACCGAAAAATGGGCCAGGCAAGGGACAGAAGCGGGCATGAGAGCAAGGAACTGAGGACCGGCCGAGGGCCAGCGATTCGCAGATGGGGAGAGAGGGGAGAAGGCCCCATGGCAGCCCCCCTGCTTCTGGCAAGGCGCGGGCCTTTGATACACACATACATATATATATACGTAGAGAGATATATGACTATCATATATATATATATATGAATGTGTATATATACACATATATATATGTATATATATATATGTGTATGCACATGTATGTTTGCATGTATGCATGTATGCATGTATGCATGTATGGATGTATGTATGTATGTAATGTATGTATGTATGTATGTATGTATGTATGTATGCATGCATGTAAGTATGTATTTATGTATGTATGTATGTATGCGTGTATGTATGTGTGTATGCATGATTGTACGTACGTGCGTACGTATGTATATGTGTGTCCTTATGTATGTATGTATGTAAATATGCATACATGCATGTATGCATGTATGTATGTGTGTGTGTGGATGTATGTATGCATGCATGTACGTATGTGTGTATGTGTGTATGGGTGTATGGGTGTATGTATGTATGTATGTATGTATGTATGTATGTATGTATGTATGTATGTATGTGTGTACGCACGTATGCCTGCATGTATGTATGTATGTGTGTATGTATGTATGTATGTATGTATGTATGTATGTATGTATGCGTGTATGTATGTATGTATGTATGTATGTATGTATGTATGTATGTATGTATGTATGTTTGTATGTATGTAAATAAGTAAGTATGTATGCATGTACGTATGTATATGTGTGTGCATGTATGAAAATGTAAGGGCAGCGCCTTCTCAGAAGCAGCCTCCTTCTGCGAAGCCTTCCTCCTCCCTCGGCCCCTTGTGCGCGCCGCCAGCAGGGCGGGGGGGCGGGGGAGGCACCGACCCCATCGACCCCAGCGCGGAGCCCGGACCCCCCCCCCGCCCGGCCCGGGAGCGTGCGCTCTCGCCGTCGAGGGCTCGATGCCGATCTCTCGGCGGCGCACCGCCCGTTGCCTGCCGCTGCTCTAGGCCTCCCAGATGGGGTCGGAGCAGATTGAAGTCGGGCGTGTCCCTCTACAGGAGGAAGATTCCAAAATAGTCTAGAAATAGTCGGGGGACTATTTTTGTAAGTATGTTTTAATATTTTTGGCTTTTTGTTTCAGTATGTTGAATTTTTTACCCAAAATCCGCCCGTAGGGGAACACGCCTGACCTAAGAGTAGATGGGGTCGGAGGATCGCGCCGCATCGCCGATACATCGTCGATGCATCGGCGATGCGGCTGGATGCGGAGCCCGATGTTCTCCACGCCGACGTCGCCGATGCATCGCTGACGTCGACGATGCATCGCCGCTGCATCGCCGATGCATCGCCGATGTATCGCCGATGTATCGGCGATGCGGCGCGGTCCTCCGACCCCATCTACCCCGACCCCATCTAGGAGGCCTTTACCATTCCATGCCGATGCGCCGCTGACCTTCCAGGAGGGCTAGCAACAAAAAAACACCATAATCTTGTCGTCTAAGCTCCTGCTGAGGTTGTGGGCAGTCCAGGTGCAGTTATAGCCAGCACAGCCAGGATGAGCCACTGTCCAAGGCTCCCCCCCTTGCACCCTTCCCCTTCGGCCCATCCTGGGCCGCTTGCGTTTGCCGCGCCCCCCCCCCGCTCGCAGAGCGTCGACGTGGCCCTCCAAGGCTCTCGTGTACCCTTGCCGCGCATCCTTTTTCTACGGAGTGACTGTAGGTCTGTAGGTCCGGAGGGCTACGCTTGAGCACTCTAGACGGTCAGGGTCCTCCTCCCCCGAGACGGTCCGCAGACGCGCCCACGGTGTGTTAGCTAACGGCGAAGCAGCAAAACCACGTGTAGGAAGGCGTGGCCCGTGGCCGAACCACTTGCAGGCACGCGTGCCTCTTGCGTTCTCCCACAGCTCGCTGTGCCGTCCTCGTTCGATCCGCTCGCACAGTTGATCCATGCGGGAAGCGGTGCCTCGTGGTTTCCTGCATGCTGTTTTGCGTGAGTTCGGCCCAACTGCACCGCTGACCAGCGCACGCCGTCCGCGCGGCCTTGGGCGGTCCCCCCCAGCGACAGTGGCCGAGCTCCCCGGCCAGAGGAGAGGCGATGCTCGCCGGGGCCCCCCGGGGGCCGCTCGGGGGCCGCGGCCCCCCTCTCGGCGGCGACGACAGGGGCGAACTGCCCAGGGGCGGGCATTACGCGCAGTCGCCCGGGAGCCTTTTCGAAGACATAGATCATCGGCGCACTTGAGTACATGTGTTGCTCGCCCCTGGGCTGGTCGCCCCTATCGTCGCCTCTGACCCTCCACCCCAAAAAGCAACTTTTTGCTGCCTCGGCGCGGGCGGGGCGGGCGCCCCTGCAGCAGCCGCAGGGCCAGACACATTGCGGCAGACCTTCCGCCGTGAGTTTTTTTTTTTTCGCGGCGCGAGGCTGCCGGGCCTGCCCGGGTCCTCCCTGGCCCTCTCCAGGCCTCTCAGAGGGGGTCCGAGCGGGCGGGGTCGGTCAGAGCTCCGAATAATCAGGGCTACCTCGGGTCGAGGGCCAACTCGGGTTTGCCCCAGATAATTCGGGCGTCCAGGGCCCCGAATCATCAGGGGTTAACTACTCGGGTCACGGCGAAGTCGGGTTCGTTTTTCGGGATTCCAAACCCGAGTTACCCCGGGCCCGAGTTACCCCTGATAGCTCGGGCGCCCAAGTCGGTGGATCGCGCCGCATCGCCGCTCCATCGGCGATGCGGCTCGGCGTGCAGCCCGATTTTTTTTGCGTCGACGTCGCCATTGGCCGCCGACATCGCCGAGGCATCGCCGACGCATCGGCGAGGCGGCGCGATTTTCCAGCCCCATCTGCTCGAGCCCCAGTTGGGAGGCCTCGGGCACCCCGCTCCAGGCGGCTCTGCCGCGGGGCGGGGCCCCTGGGGCACCCCAGGGCGGCGCCCGCCGGCCCTCCCCAGACAGGACACCGCGGGGAGAAACAGCGCACGACCGCGAGGGTGCCCGCGGCGCACCTCCTTCTCCTCCTCCTGCTGCTCCCCCTCCTCCTCCTCCTCCTCCATCTGCCCCGCCGCCTCCTCCTCCTCCCTCTCCTCCTCCTCCTCCACCTCCTCCTCCTCCTCCTCCTCCATCTGCTCCTCCTCCTTCTCCTCCTCCTCCTCCTCCTCCTCCTCCATCTGCTCCGCCGCCTCCTCCTCCTCCTCGCACGCCGCCAGGGGAGCACGTGGCCGATCCACAGAGTTCCCTGCCGCCCCCTTGGCCACCCCATTTGCCGCCCCTGTGCTTCTCTCGCGTCTTTCACCGGTTGATGCCTCCTCGCCTCATTTGGACGTGCGCCCCGCCGCCTGACATGAACGGACCACGAGCAGTATGATGTTCCAACCTTCTTTAGCCTTGATCACCAGAAAAAAAATCGAGCACCACAAAAGTACCGTAACTCAAGGGTTTTCACGTGTCGGGCCCTGGGAGACTCGTCCGACACTGTTTCGACACCCTTTCGACACTTTTCTGGATGCTCGGAATTATTCCTGGGATGTGGTCCTTAAGTACGATGGGAGCAACATAACACGAGCATTGGTGTGTGCACGTTGCGGTGGAACAAACAACTCTCCCACCGCAGCCTCCGCTGTGAGCACGGGGGGTTCCTGGGACGGTCGCACATTCCATGTCAGGCTGCCAGCTGAGAACTTCGACGGGGCAGCGGGGCCATAATCTGACAGTCGAGGACGCCAACGCGCTGCGATCGGAGAAGCGTCGCCAAATCAGTTCCAGACGTCGCGGTCAGCTGCTTGCTGAAGCAGGCGCACCTTCAACATGGATTCGACGTCTGCCTTCAAACTGCCTCGCCCAAAGTGCCCCCCCCGGGCTTACAAATCCTCCGCATTGTTACGCTGGGCAAACTTGGATCGCATACTGATGTCGCGTCATGATGGCAAGCTATCGGCACAGTGAAGGAACAACTGGCGCGGGCATCACTTGCAAAAATAACGAAGACGTATCATAGAAGAGAGGGCCCGCAATTACAAAGGATAAAAGCTCACCTGGTCGTGGACGGGCGAAGGAGGTGATCGTGATCCTCTTCTTCCTCGTCGTCGTCGTCCTCCTCTTCCTTCATTTCGGCCCCCTCCTCCTTCTCATCCTCAGCCCCCCCATCCTGCCCATGGTCCTCCTGATTCCCGATTCCTGATGGCGTGAGTAGTATCCGACTGGTCCTCCTCCTCCTTCTCCTCCTCCTCCACCAACTTCTCCCGTTGTTCCTCCTCCTCGTGCTCCTCCTCCTCCTGCTCCTCCCCCTCCTCATTTTCCTCCCCCTCTTCCTCCTCCTCCTTTTCGCCCCCCTGTGCAATCCAGGGGCCATCCTCCTCGTCGCCCCCTTCCTCCGCTGACACCTTCGCGATGTGAAAAAATAAGGCACGACGAATGTGCATGGCAATCTTCGGCGCTTGCGGGGCCCTCACCAGGCCTCGGGACCGTCAAGCTTGGGTTAAGTCGGGCGTGTCTCTCTACATGACGAGTACCCAAAAATAGTCAGCAAATAAGTCTGGGGACGTTTTTGTTTTACAAACGTATTTTGGGGCATGGTTTGGGTATTGCGAAGGGCTTGCGGCCGGTGCCGCCGACCCTGAATGACGACGACGACGACGACGACGACGACGACGACGACGACGACGACGACGACGAGCGCTGGGGGCCTCTTGGGGGTAGTCTGGGGGCCACTTGGGAAGCTCTTGGGAGCCGCTTGGGAACCTCGTGGGGGCCTCTTGGGGCTTCCTGGAGGTCTCTTGGGGGCCTCCTGGGGGCTCTTGGCGGGCTTCTGAGGGGCCTCTGGGGGCTTCCTCAGAGCTTCTCAGGCAGAGGTATCGAAATGTCCGTTCGGGTCCCCCGTCTGGGCTCCCTCTTGGAGCCGTCTTGGGGGCCTCCTCGGCTGTCTTGCAGGCCTCTTTGGCGGTCTTGGGGCCCTCTTGGGTCGTTGTGGAGCTCTCTTGGAAGCCTCTTGGGCCATCTTGGGGCGGTTTTGGAAGCCTTTTGGCCTGACAAGGCGACAATGCTGATATCTTTCAAAACCCGTGGGGGATCGACGTGTTTTGCCCCTTGGGGCCGTCTTGGAAGTCCTCTTGGAGCCCTCTTGGGGCGTTTTGGAAACCTTTTGAGCCGCCTGGAGGTTACTTTGGCGACTTGGACCGATACTTCGGCGATTCGGGGCCATCGATGCTTGGGGACATCTTGGGGCACTTTTGCCGCGTCTTGGAGCTTTTCTGGGCCCCCGAACCGTCCGGGGGGGAGTCGCATCTTCTGCCCCGGGACCCCCCCAGGACCCCCCCCTGGCGACTTGGACCGACATTTCAGTGATTCGGGGCCATCGGACCGTCTTGGGGACATCTTGGGGCACTTTTGCCGCGTCTTGGAGCTTTTCTGGGCCCCCGAACCGTCTGGGGGGGAGTCGTATCTGCCCCGGGACCCCCCCAGGACCCCCCCTGGGCGACTTGGACCGATATTTCGGTGATTCTGGGCCATCGAAAATCGTCTTGGGAACATCTTGGGGCACTTTTGCCGCGTCTTCGGGCTTTTTTCTGCCCCCGAACCGCCGTGGGGGAAGTCGCATCTGCCCGCCCCGGGACCCCACCCCTGGGCACCCTCCCTGGCCCGCCCCCATCTTGCGGGGAAGGGATCAAAGGGAAGGGGCTTCCCTTCGATTCAACTACAACCTTTCCACACGCCGACAGGGTCGGCGGATTGTTTGAGTATTTTTCTCTTGCACAGGGTGTCTAGAGGTCCGACCACTTTTTTTCGGCACGGCCCCCCCTCCATCACCCACACATTCCACCAGCCAGCCCCCCTCTCCGTCCCGTGTCTTCGGCACGGCAAACCCCTCCGTTCCGACCCCTTTATTGCGGCACGGCACACCCCTTCCGCATCCCCCCACCCACCAGCCAGCGCGCCCCTCCACCCCGAACCCTTTATTCCGGCACGGCACACACCCCGCATCCTACCACCCACCAGCCAGCGCGCTCCCTCCGCCCCGACCCCTTTTCGGCACGCCCCCCCCTCCCCCGCGCGCCCCCTCCGCCCCGAATCCTTTATTTCAGCACGGCACACCCCTCCGCCCCGACCCCCTTTATTTTGGCACGGCGCACCCCCTCCGCATCTCCCCCACCCACCAGCCAGCGCGCCCTCCGCCCCGAACTCTTTCTTTCGGCACGGCGCACCTCTCTGCCCCGACGTTTTTTTTGCGCACGGCACACCCCCTCGGCATGCCCCCCCGCCCGCCAGCCAGCGCGCCCCTCCGCCTCGACCTCTTTCTTTCGGCACGGCTCCGCCCCGACCACTTCATGTCGGCGGCACGGCACACCCCGTTTCGGCATCCCCCCCACCCACCAGCCATCGCGCCCCCCCGCCCCGACCCCTTTATTTCGGCGCGCCCCCCCCCCCCCTGCATCCCCCCACCACCAGCCAGCGAAACCCTTCGCCCTGACCTTTTATTTCGGCACGCCCCCCCCCCGCGCGCCCCCTCCGCCCCGACCCCTTTCTTTCGGACGGAACACCCCCTCCGCATCCCCCCCCCGCCCACCAGCCAGCGCGCCCTCCGCCCCGACCCCTTTATTTCGGCACGGCACACCCCTCCGCCCCGACCACTTCATGTCGGCGCGGCACACCCCCTTCCGCACCCCCCCGCCCCCACCAGCCAGCGCGCCCCTCCGCCCCGACCCCTTTCATTCGGCACGCCCCCCCCCCGCATCCCCCCACTTACCGGCCAGCGCGCCCCCTCCGCCCCGCGACCCCTTCATTTCGGCACGGCCCCCACTCCCTCCCCGCGCGCCCCGCGCGCCCCCTCCGCATCCCCCCCACCCACCAGCCAGCGCGCCTCTCCGCCCCGACCCCTCTATTACGCCCCCCCCCCACCCACCCACCCACTCACAAGCCAGCGCGCCCCTCCGCCCCGACCCTTTTTATTTCGGCACGGCACACCCCTCCGACCCGACTCCTTTATTTTGGCGCGGCACCGCCCCCTCCGCCCCCTCCGCGCGCGCCCACTCCGCAACCCCCCCACCCTTCAGCCAGCGCGCCCCCTCCGCCCCGACCCATTTGTTTTGGCGCGGCACCGCCCCCCCGCCCTGACCCATTCATCTCGGTACGGCACCGCCCCCCCACCCCGAGCGCCCCCTCCGCATCCCCCCATCCACCAGCCAACGCGCCCCCTCCGCCCCGACACCCCCATCCCGACGCCACTCCATCACCACATTCACCAGCCACGCGCCCCCTCCGCCGCATCCCCTTTCCTTTTTGTGCAAGAGCCATGGCCCGCGTGCCACTTGTTTATTGAATCGCTTCGCTCATTCCGCCGGCCCGTGATACGGCATCGCTGGTTTTTGTCTGTGTGTTCGTTGCCCATGTTGCGCTCTTGGGGGCGGGTGTCGTTCGGACGCGTTGCGTGGGGAGTTTTGATGGTGAAGCAGTTCCCTGGGGGTCGTCTCTCGATGGGGCGAAATAGAGTCGTCGTCAAGATGCTTCTTTGGGGGGCCTCTTGGGGTCTGTTGAGAGGCCGTTCGGGGGCGCCTGGGAGACATGTTTGAAGCCTTCTGGGGCTTCTTTTGGGCCTCCTGGGAGTCTCCTGGGGCCTCTTGGCGACATCTTGGGGCCTCTTGGAGGCCTCTTGGGGCCTCTTTGGGACCTCCTGGGCGCCTTCTGGGACGGAGGGCTCCATTTTTGAGTTCTCGGTATCCCTCCTGAGTCCCTCTTGGGCCCGTCTTGGGGCCTCTTGGTCCGTCTTGGGCGGCACTTGGGCCGTCTTGAGGGCTCTCTTCGTTTGGGCCGTCTTCTTTTCTTGGGCCTTCTCTTGGGAGCGTCCGGAAGCCGAAAAAGCCAGAACACAAAAAACATCCTGGGGCCTCTTGGGGCTCTCTTGGCAGGCTCTTGGGGCGTCTTGGAGGCCTCTTGGGCTGTCTTGGGGGCCTTTTGGGCCGTCTTGGGGTCATCTTCGGCGTCTTCGAGCGCTCTTTGGGCGTCTCGGGGGCCTCTTGGGCAGTCTTGGGGGCCTCTTGGGGCACTCTGAGCGCGCTCTGGGGAGCCTGAGAGGCCGCACCCGGAAGGAAAACCATCTCTGAGTAGACCCAG